AACATGGGTGGCCACCACTTGGTCCACTGTGTCGATTGAGATAGAGGCTTTCACATCAGCATGGCGCCTCAAAGCACTTCACAGGATACTGTGTAAAGTGGGAGTCACTGGGTATTTTGAGGGCAAAAAGTGAAAACTTGTCTGAGTTGATGCCGGTATCTTCATTGGAGCTACCTACTCCATTCGCATTCTTTGTCCATACCCTAATATAAGAGTTTAATTATGGACTGGATGATATGGATAATTGAACATTATACATTAAGAAATGACCTGAAACATTCCTCTGCATCATCGGGCTGGTTTGAATCCTTTATACTTCTGGCAAGAAATAATATTGCTTCCTTCCGTCCCTGGCTGTAAATAATGGATTATACGCTCAGTGTTCACTTGGTTTAGAGGGTATGTCTTGAAGGTCAGACTGAATCTTGGAAATTGCCTGGATATATTATACCAACCTATTATGTCTTGAATTCCAATGACTATAAATAGTAACAAGAGTAGTCTCAATCTAATCACTGGTGCACATGTTTTCCCTGCACGATATCCTTCCAATTAGCAATCAAACATAACTGTGCAGTGGAAGTTTGATCTTCAGTAACAGATTTAGGGTATAGGATTGGATATTTAACTTCGTGCCAGCCTGCGTCGGCCTGAGGTGGTGGAAACGTTTTATTTTTGAGCTCTGGCATTAACTTTGAAAAGTTCAATGAAGATTTTCATATTCCATTTTCTATACTATTATGAGAAGTGATCAGGCAAAACAAGTCACTGTTGTGGATTACATAACTATACGCTGCAGGTTCCAAACAGGATGCTTGCGCTTTAAGAATTTCTAATTGACTTTGTTAAATAATCAATTCTGAAAAGCTGCTCATCAGTGTGTCCCCCAGTCAGTCCACCCAACAGTCTGTTCTGTGCCCATCTAGGAGTCCTGTAGCTCAGTGGTTAGAGCACTCGCTTTGCAAGCGAGAGACCTGAGTTCAATTCCAGGCAGGTCAGGGAGAAACCTTGGGCAAGTTTCCTTACTCCACACAGAGCCTAATAATAATCCCTCCAAAACAAACAATAATAAATTGGTCATTTTCAATCTACAACTGTTTGTGGGACATTGCTGTGCGCAATTGGCTGCCGCGTTCGCACACAAATATAGTCAATTCACTTTACAGTGTGTTCTGTGAAGCGCTTTGGGACGTCCTCCTGACGTGAAAAGTGCTATATCAAATGTAAGGATTATTATTATTATTATCAGTCAATCCATCTATTCCCATCATTCTGTTTCTGTTCTAACCAGTCTGTGCCAATCATTTGGGTTTTCTAATATTTATTCAATATAAATGATCAGACAGCAGGCCATTATCATTAATAATAATCCTCACATTTGCATTTCTCAGGACCCAGAAGGTGAGACCACTCAGCCCATTAACCCTACAAGCCAAAGTCATAACGTGTAGGGTGGTTCTAGCTGGACAAGCAGCGGGAAAGCTTGCTAGATAGCAATATCAATGGCAAGCTATGCGGTGTTGGATGGTTAGACTCCAGCAGTACCCCAATACAAAATCTGGGGTCCCCAAGCCTTGGCTCTTGCCAACCTGAACTAAATACTTTCTGGAATTAGGTAAGCAGGATGCATCCCTCTAGGGTGAGTGCACATTCCATTCTAACAATCTATCTCTGGGATTTCCATGTGTAGGTAGGATACATAGAAATCTCAGCTTGGTTTGCATACAAGATTAATTTGTATAGCGCCTTTCACGTCAGGAGGAGGTCCCAAGGTGCTGGACAGTGTACAGCATTTCAGACTCGAGCTGGGGTCAGGGGGGAGAAGGGAGGGGAGGTGACCAATGGCATGGTTGAAGAGGAGGGTTTTGAGGTGGAACTTGAAGGAGGCTAACGAGAGGGCGAGGCAGCGTGATTGGGGGATGGAGTTCAAGAGGTTGGGGGGCAGTGTGGCTGAAGGCTCTCCCGCCAATGGTGGGGTGGGGGAACGTGGAGCAGACCAGAACCAGCTGAGCGGAGGGAGGGAGCGGGCGGGTTGTTAGGGGGTTAGGAGGTCACAGGGGTAAGTTGGGGCGAGACCATTGAGGGCTTTGTAAGTGAAGACCAGGATTTTGAACTGGATCCTGTGAAGGATAGGGAGCCAATGGAGTTGGGCAAGAATGGAGATGGGGTCACGGAGTTTGGTGCGGGAGAGGACACGGCCTGGGGTTCTAGATTATCTGCAGCCTGTGGAGGGAGGAGTTGGGAAGGCCGACAAGCAGGGCGTTTGCATAGTCGAGCCTGGAGGTGATGAAGGCATGAAGAGGTTCAGTGGCCTGAGGGGAGAGGTAGTGGCGGTGTTACAGAGGTGAGGGAAGGCAGAGCAGGTCATGGCTTGGATGTGGGGAAGACAGTTGAGGGTCGAACAAGACACCAAGGTTCCTGACTGGCTTGGTGAGTTGATGCATGGAGGTTGATGCTGCCAGAGCCTGAGGTGCTGAGGTGCTGGCGCGAGCCAATCAGGAGGGCCTCAGTCTTGTTCACATTCAACTGTAGGAGGTTTGCCCTCATCTAGGACTTGATATCCGACAGGTAGTTTGTCAGGATACTCTTAAGCATGGTGATGGGTTTCCGCATGTGTCAAGACACCCAGCTGACCAAAAAAAATTTTTCAGGATAGGCTCTTAAGCGTAGTTAGTGTCTTTTCTAGTCCAAACTGGCAGCCAATGAACACACAGCCATGTCCCACAAACAGCTATGAAATGAGTGAACATTTTTTTCAGGGAGTTTGCTGGGCTTTAATCAACCAGACTTTTATAATTAAAAGCAAATAACTAACCAATTTTTAATAATAATCCTCACATTTAATATAGCACCTTATCACATCATTGAAGCATCCCAAACTGCTTCACATGATATACTGTAATGTGACTGAATTTTGTGGGTAGACAAAGACTGGGATACTGTGGTCTATATTATCTTACACAAGAGCAAAGTGCAGTTGCTTTAAGCATTGAAAGTTCCTGGAGTCCTCGCTGATACTTCTTATAAATTTACTGTGAACAGAATGCTTGAATAAAGCCACTTGCCTGAGGTGTATGTGCTTACTCAAGACATGTTTGAAAATACTCATCCTGTTACATTAATATATTGTACCAGAGTGGTCGCTCCCCTCATGATTCCCCCACAGCGAGACCCTGCTCCTCTTGTGGATTATCCTCAATCTTCCATTACACAATAGTGTATGTGCTACAGGGAGCCTGAGATAATGGACTTCAAAAATGGCTGGCAGAGTGAAATATAGACAATCTTCATAAATGCAGTTGATTTCCTTCCCCACAGCCACACAGTGGAGAGGAAAGAAAGTTCTGCAGAACTGAATGGATTATCACTTCAGAACCAGCTGATAAATTGGACAAATCAGATTCTGATGTTAAAACTCGAAAATATCCAGTTACAGAGAAAGCCAGCCTGGTTTAACACATCTCTTGAGTTACATAAAGATATCTGATATGGCACACTTTATTGATCTAAATTTTGTGTATTATGGCTCAGTTGCTGAGTTCACTCATTTTACAGAAAATCATGCGAGACATCCTCCCAATGTGAAAAGTCTTGAAGATATAAGGCGCTGTATCAAATGCAATGATTATTATAAAGCATTCCAATAGGTTTCAAAGCAAACCAGATTCCTGAGGTGCTAATTGAGTGCTGTAACATTAATATATTTTATACCAGCATTTTATTCTAGATATTTTCATATCATCCCATAACACTTGGTGTAAAAATGTTGAACTTTTGTTCAATATTTTTAAACAGACTAATAAAGCACAATGCTGGTTTATAACCAAATATGTATGAGTGTAATTGTGCTCCAAACATGTTGATGATTTTCTTTTGTTCTTCTGTACATCTTTCCCCATCTGTACTCAGCCAAAACGGTAGATTACTTTGCACATTTTAGTCAATGATGTTCAGTAAGCAGCTGCAAAGGAAATTACGTGATGGGACTCACCTTATTCACCGCTCCCCTTTTCACAGATAAAACATGCAGAAATTTCCATGTTACACTTTATAACCAAATTAAAGTTTTGAAACTAATATATTTTTGAGGAAGTTGAATAACAACTTGCATGTAAATAACACCCTTCATATAGGAAACATCTTGGAGCAGTTCACAAGGGTAGGGTAGGATGCTGAACAAGGGAGAAGGGGGAAGTTGACCACAAGCATAGTAGAAAAGGCAGAATTCCAGTCATGATAAGAGAGGAAGGTTTTTAAGCCACTAGTTTGACCCTGAAGGATGGTGAGAGACATGCTGCAGGTTCGAGTTAGATGAAGGGATAAGCAGAACAGTTTAAGATCACAAACGTAGGGAGGTGCTAGGCCGTAAAATGATTTGTAATAAGAGGGTGAGGATTCTCATTTGTCTTCTTAAACCACTTTATCCTCTATCACATTATTAAATACAGATCTCTTAGAAAGAGCATTCTTTACACAAAGGGATGCATCCACATAGGATCTCAAGAGCTGGAAAGCCTGAAGTCTCAGCTCTAGATAGAGTTTGTTCACTTTGGTCACCAAGATGTAGAATTTTCTAGTATTGCCAATACAATGAATAAATCTATAAATCTGTGAATAAAATAGAACATAACCTTTGGGGGCGCAAGGGGATCTTATTAAACTGGAGTAAAATGAAGCACATTTCCAAGTGCCTAGCCAGGTCTTCAAAATGAAACACAAAAACAAATATTTACTACAATTCAATTTAACCTCAAGTGCATGAAGTACACTTCGCTCTGAGCAATAAATATTTTAATTTCTGTAGGACACCCAATTTATGGTGCACAATATTGTGCAAGGTCAGTAATGTTTATACACAGCTATGCTGAGGGGGGGGGGGGGGGGGGGGGGGGGGGGGGGGGGGGGGGGGGGGGGGGGGGGGGGGGGGGGGGAGTAAATTGGTTGCACATGCATTACAGCAATCATCTCTATTGAACATTGAATACGTTTTCAGAACAAACTTTTGTTAATTCACAAAATGTTTAATTCATTTCTTCAGAATTTTCCCTCACCTCACTTTTCATAAGTACTGATTTTCTCAGGTTCAGCATGTTGGGTTTCTGGAATTAAATGACTGACATGACAGAACACCTGTAAAATGCAACTTTTGTGGGAAAAAAAAGTTTTGGTTGAAGTTTTTCGGAAAATAAGTGGGTGTTCCCAGAAAGAACAAAGGTGATAATCTACAGATATATAAAAATAGAAATAAGTGAACTGAAGAGTCTATTTTTTTTAAAAAAGCAAGTAACTGCAGTCTCTCAACAACTCTGCCATTTTTTAAAAAAAAATCTGGTTCTGGGATGTGCTGTGTACATCAATCACCATCATAATACCAGCAGCTATCAAAGTTAAAAGATGGAAATCACAAATTCAACACATCTGTCTGTTAAAATGACATAGTTCTTATTCAACAATGAATCAAGTGAAAAACTGGACTAAAGGTCCAAGACATCATGAATGAATTGTTCCAACATTTGTATTGAGTTTAGCACAAGCATAGCACCAGTTTAGAGAAGCAAAACTATCACCATTAAGTTGTTGTACAAAAAGAATTTTACAGTTTACTGTATACAATCTACAAATTGCATAATTGATCATGTATCAATTTACAGGGATCATTTAAATTAATGCCAATACATTTGTGTTAATAATGAAAATTGTGGTATTGATGGAAGAATGTAAGACTGGAGTATTTTTCATGAAAGCTGAAAATATGATCCTGGATATAGTTTCTTTAAAGGAGATTGAAACAGTCTTGGGGAAGGCGATTGCTAAATGGTCAAAATGTTCATTGCAGCTTCTAAAAAAAAAAGCTTTGTGGCTCTATACCACTTATTTAACAAACAATGGAGGAGTAACCTATATTTAGCATAAAAACATTTTAACCTGGATATTTTTTCCTATCTGAAGGTAGGTATTCTGTACGTCAAGATCACCAGCAGTCTTTTTTTTGTCACGCCAGGCTTATTGCTCCTGGCTAAATTAGAAATCTTGTGCCTTATGAGTGTGCTGTGCATGTGTTTAGTTCTTATTTGCACAACAAACCCATTGACAGCTCATGAAAGTAACTTTTTTTTAAAAAACATTCTGCTTGGTCTGTTCCACCTTCATGATCTTATCAAAACCAAATACCATTTGGGTTTGATCAGTGGCAAAAAAATGCTTCAACATAAATAAAACCTAATAAATTGAAACAACAGTAAAAGGCGTATTAAATAAAAGTTTTACAAGAACCAGATAGGGGATGAAAGTTCAGTGTATTAAACACAAGAAGTTTGGAGTTTAACTTTTTTTTAAAAATGCTAAACATATATTCTTTGCAAACCGGAAAATACAAATTCACTCGAATTTTACATATGCGTGTGCAATAAATACTTCAGCTTTGTAACTCCTGCCATAATCAGGTTAACAAATCTTGTTAGGGCTGTTGGGTTTTGCACAACTACATGGGTTCTCTGGAATTTGCTAAATTCAGCAAAAGTCTGTGTTTGTTAAAATAAATTCAGAGCAGAAAGCACAGCTACATATAGGTGAATGAAGCGGTGGTCAACCATGGTATTACAGTCTCATTCATTTTAAGCTTATTATTGTACTTTCATTATTAATGTGAACTTATTTAAATTGCTAGGGATCTGCTGGGTTAGGTGTAAGAGCCATAGAATAGGACCCTGAGTTCACTCAGTTGCTGTCCATTTCTGACAAGGGCAAAGGTGAATGCCTGATTCCTCACCGCACTCTGTGACTGACATATTGCCAGGCATTTCAACTTCTTAACCGGATTTCTCTCTGCACTGTTCTTCCATGGATTCTTTAATTGGATGCATTACCTATAAATGGGTCTTTAAGCCAGTTAAATAATACTTTATAGACGCTGTATCCACTTCAGGATAATGCAAAACCGTGGAATAAAAAAATCTAAATTTTGAAATGAATATTTAATTTTCATTATTTTTCTATTTTTTTTAATGTGGACTGAAATACTGCCCTTATTACTGCCAATGGCCAATAGACATTTTGTACTATGTCCACTTGGAAATTTAATTTTTTTTATCATACCCCATGTGATTCAACTATGAAAGGACAAAGAGAATCCTAGGTTTCCAGTCTTCATATCACTTTGTCCATTTTTTTTATTACTGACCTACTGTAAGGAATTGGTAATGTTATCAGGTACAATTTCAAAGATTAGTTCTCAGGTGTGGAAATAATGAGGTTTTGGACTTTGATTAGAAGACTCCATGACCCTAACTATTCATTCACACTGTTTAGTGTTGTAATGTCAATCGCAAATGTGATTCCTATTAAGCCTTTGTAAGAGTAAGAAATCATACAAAGTTTTTGAATTAACTCTAAATTGAAGAGAGTCCCTGTATAAAGTTTTAAGTTCATTTTTTAAATTATATTACCCTACATTAGCTGAATGAGGTTTAATGATGCATTTAACTCAGAAGATAAGTCTCAACTTTTCTTTTTAAAACAGCTCAAATATAAAATTATATACCAACAGGCAATATTTTGGTACAGAGGAAGTCAAAAACTCAAAAACTTTAGAATTGCTGGACAATGAACTGAGGATTTCTAGGTTCACTACACATGCTCCTGCTCCAGGTTGAGCGATAACACACTGAACAAGTCACACCAACGTCGAGTATGCAACAACTCTTACATTTGAGGTAAATGTAATTCAAAGTTCATAAGAATGCCACAATTTGATTTAAGACTATTCACAACTTGCAGGAAACCATCATTTCCTTTCCATAGTGTTTCTATTGAATTTGAACTTAAACCTGCAGATGTAGGACAATCCCCTTGTCCAGCTCACTGAGTCATCTCTCATTTCCCCCGTACAATATATGATACATAAATCATCACCTGTTTTATGCTGTCACTATAAACTACAGATATTTATTGTACACAGCAATCTATACAGTGGAAGTTCTTTGTGTTTGAGGAATAACTGATAGAAACAGGTATAGGGGCTAACAATTACTATGTTTAAAAGCTTTGAAAAAAATACTTTTCAAAAGCACAGCTTATTAATTTGCCTTATGGATAAAGAACAAAATTGCAGTGTTACAAACAGTCAGACTTGCTGCTCACAATATACAATAAAAACTTTGTTTATGGGATTAGACACCGAACTGCCTTAACATAACTGTTCCACTGTAACCAGTGGTGGGCAAATCCTCACGTCCCAATCCTTGGCATTATGGCATTCCTAAATCCTATCCCAACCATTTTTCATATTACAGACAAGAGATCCAATCTCAATTACACATTATGATGATATGACAGAAAACACCATTTGGCATTTCTGGCTCACTGTAAATTAGCTCAAATTCAAACTAAAAACATTTAACGTCAAATGTAAAATTATAGGTACAGACAGTATCACATAACAAAATGTCTTCACAAAATAAATCACAATTCATACACTAATTCTGTTGATCCTAATTTATATGCTTAAATATTTCATTCTCATGTTTAAATATTTAAAAACAATTTGCCGTTATTACCATTCAAAGAAAAAAAAGTTAAACCTGTTTCAATAAACAAACAGAAATAACTGGGAAAAACATCAGTAGGTGATGCAATCAAGCATTTTGCAGTTTGCACTTGAGAAATTGCCATTATGTGCACATTGGGGCAAGTTAAAGTCATTCACTCAAACTGCTGTAAACACGCCATCATCACAGGTTTCTTTGGTACTTTATGGTCACGATACATCTAACATTGAAGGAAGATCACTGCCTGCCATTTGAATGGAAAGTTTTACCTTGATCAGCAGTAGACTGAATTACTGTGCTACTAGATTTAACAGTCATAAGAAACTTACAGTTATCCATATTTAATTGAACCCACTAATTTACACACTGATCAAAATATGCTAAAACTTTTGAAAATTTAGAGCTGAGGTTAGACATATGACCAGTCATAGGACTTACTCAACTGACCTATTATATCATTGAGTTAAAAGGAGAACCAACACATACAGTAGCAATTCCCTTGTATGCCAATGCCACAGCATTTTGGTAAATCAATAACCTGCACGATGGTAGGAGATCCACTATACAAAAGTTTCTGATTGGTTTGGGTGGTAGATGTTTAACAGTGAGGATAAATCACCATGGTTGTGCAAGTATAGTATAGCTCTTGGGGAGTTAGTAAATTGAGTGGTGGGAGGGGAGAGAGAGACTGAGAGAGATAAACCGGAAGGTGGATAGCTATAAATAAAATGGAGAGGATACAACTTGCTTTAAATTATCTTCAAAATTATTGCAGTTGGGTTGTACAAGTTCAATATGTTCTGTGTGCAGCATATTAAAAAATGGATTGTAGAGGAAGAATTTTAAATAAGAGTTGTTTTAACTGAAGATTAAAAGCGGCCCAAATGTTCACAACGTTGAGTTTTGTGATAATTGTTAAAATCAAGCTTAAATAATTTACTATATCAAGAATTGGCAATGTAATAACACCAATAGTGAAATCCATTTACAACACTCCCATAAAAACAACTGGATTGGTAATATTCAGACAAGATTGCTTACAATGGTTCTTTTAAGGAATTCATAACATGTTTAAGGTTTCTTCTTAGTGGCAAGTTGTCACCAACCCCAACATGTGTCCAGAAGAAAGAGGAATAGTAGAAACTCTAGTTCAGGGATTGAGAGTTTCTACTATTCACGCATTTTTCTGCAGTGCCCCATAATACTACGAATAACAAACAAATCTCTCTGTACCAATTAACATCTCTTGTTGCTCTGCTTACATTTTAGAACCACTGGTTTGTTTTGTGCCAAAATTCCTCTTGTGGCATCATGATGTTCTACTGACCAACAATTCAAATTTAGCCACGGATCCCTGACCCAGTTCATGGCATCCGTAGGCAAAACGTAAGGAAGCCACAAAAAAAATGTCCTCTCTCACAATGACTCTGTAAGCATAGAGCAACAAGAGGGGACTGAGAAATGCTACGGAGTGCAAAGATTTCCTTTATTTCACTTTATGATTATAGAGCAATTTAGTGTTTACAAACATTGCCTTAAAATACTAATTCCTTTTCCCTCCTTGCCATGCTACTGTCAATAATAAGATTATTACACCGAAGGTATCCCTCTATCCAATCAAGCAGCTAAGCATACAATGCCTGAATTAGAGTTTCTACTATTCAGCATATAAATGTCATATTTGAGAGATTTATTAAAGTGAATAAACTACTTCAGCTCCATACCAAGGCAACGTAGTTTATTCAACTAAGGTGACATGTATTCCATTCAAAGTGACCAGAAGCTTTCAAGAGAACCTGGCTGTTCCAAGGTGAGTGAGAAGTCAGTTTTCTTTCTGTAATAATTTGCTGAGATACAACACTCTAGCTGGTTACAAATTACAAATGGTTACACTGTTACAAATCTATTGGATTCCCTATTTAAATTTTGACTTTTTAAAGTGTGGCGAAGAGAGAAGAAAGATGTTACCCTATTGTTATAAAGGAATTGTTCACCTCCAGTTTGCAAATCACAGCTTTCTATCTGAGCCGCTTTAGGCCTAGGAAATTTTCCAAATGGAAAGAAACGAGAGAAAGAAAACAATTATGTTTCTTTGTCACCCATAAAATCAGGAAATAAAATATCCCTGCGGGTTCAACAATTTAGAAGCTTGTAAAATTATGTGCATATCCACAGCATACTGTGAAACAGAAATTATAATTTTATCCCAGCAGGCTCTCTAGCATACAGATGTTAGCTAAGGAATACAACAGCACTGAGCAGCTGTAGATGCAGACACTTTGTTGAAATAAACATCCTACTTTGTGACTTTATAAAAATAAAATGTTTTTCAATCCCTACCTTTCACACCCCAAAATTATAAGCACCGTTAATTAATTAGCAGAGCTCACCTCCTTAAAGTCTACAGAGCAGAAACCCTGTTACAAGACAATTGTATCATTTAGGATCAATTCCATTAGCTAGTTATCTGCAAATCATCTGGGTCCATTTTGTATTTCAATTGATTGGGTACCTGTACAACTTGGCTTGCTACTATATTTGGTCAAATACACCTTTACTGGCTTTATTTTTCCCCTTTCCATCTTCAAAATTTCTTATGCCATTATTTTTGGATAATCTGGATAATCTGGAAAAAAACTGAATTAGAATTTTTTTTAAATAAAAATATGCAAGTAGTAAATTGGAGTCCCAGGCACATACAAAATTATCTGTCATTACAAAACCTAATCCCGATATTCAGACAGACCAAACTTGCAAACTTTCATTTGCAAAACCACCATAGCTAGATGCATTCTTGCAATGTAGTGTGTGTAAAGAGAATCAGATCCCGAATCCAGGGGGAGGAGTGTGCAATTTGCACAAAATGGGTCATTTTTAAAAAGGATGGTAATCTCAATTTCCCTCCAGGATTTCACTCAATTAAACAGATAATCCTACAAATTTGTTCATTCCACCCCTGGCTTCTTTGGAAAGAAAAATATATTCATTGCTTTGTGGAAGCCGACTTCAGTTAAACATTGGTGACTAATTTATTCAGTAAGACCAAGACTTGCTGCATAACAAGTAAATTACCATTTAGAAGTACATGTCCAACTGTTTCTCAGTTTTCACAAACTGAGTTTATAGCTTGGTCTGTTAACAATTCCACACAATGAATTTGTTTTGTTTCAACTCTACAATTAGCAAATATTTCCTTAAGATGCCATTCATTTTTCAATTTACTTCCCCATGAGCCTTAATAAGGTTGTATGTTGGCATTATGCAAATTTACAGAGCACAAAAATAACTTAAAATTTTAAAAAAGATCTTAGTTACTAGCACCTACAGAATATAGTCAACAGATAGGTTTCCCTCTCTGGAAGGTTGAGACTTGAAAATGCATAGAAAAAAAAAATCTCTGAAGATTCAGACCCGATTCTTTGAAATAGTTCAAATCCCAAAATTCCCTCAAACCAAACCTCTATTCCACCAGTCAGTGGGATGCAAATCATCTGCTCCCCCGCTCTCGTGCCAGGTCTCGGTTATTTTACTGTATTTTGTACAGTAGTTAACTACCTTAATCGTCAACAGAAAAAAATTATAATTTTAATCCCACTTGTTACAGGGAATTGCCCACCACTGACTCTAATACACTTTCTTCATTACATATATGGAACTGCCATTTAGCAGTTCTTACTACAATCACCAAAGCATCAATTATCATCCACCAATGTTCATAGCTACCAGCAAAATATGGAAAATTTAGTGTTTTGTTACCAATCCATAATCATTGCAATTCAGATAAAATTCATAGGGTCTGTCTATACAGTGCTGAACCACCACAGTTACACTTTGCAATTTTATAATACAAGAGCACATCCATCAGCTAGTCATTGTCTAATATGACGTATGTCTCACTAGCCCCAGCATCTTCCCACTCATCTCTATCAACTAGCCCTCCATCTTCATCTGCAACATCTTCATCTATCATTCTCTCTTCTTCCTGTTCTTGTCCTCCGGATTCTTCTTGTTCTTCCAGTTCCTCTGGTTCTTCCTTAAAAAATTCTGGATCAACCATCAAGTCCATGCTATCCTGCTCGACTTTTGGTTGTCTCTCACCCCCAGAACAATCCAAACACACGCCATAACGACGAGACCCGTGTCTAATTCCCACACTTGCTGCTAAAGTGAAGAACTTTTTACACACCATACACTTGTACTTTTTATCCTTCTTGTGTACCTGAGTAAGAACAAAAATAAACAAGCCGTTAATTATCATGAAATACATTTCTATCAAAACAGAAAATAAACTTGCAATGCGTTCTTTAACAATGAAAAGCTGCTGTTTCTGATTGATAAGCCAGTAGTTAGAAGTATTTATTGCCATTCCCACCATGACATGATGCCCACCAGTTCTATCGAAAACAGCTTAACTAAAAGGGGAGAGCTGCAGATTCAAAAAAATAGAAGCAAAGCTGAAATTGTAATCATGTGAGGCACATAACAAAGCCATTTCAGTTATAAAATGCTACACCACATGAGTCGCTATATAAATGCAAGTTGCTGTTGTTATAAAGCAACTCAGATTCAAATACAATTGTGAAGTAATTTCCAAAAAAATCTTCATCCTGAGAAATATGCTGGGAAACGGCAACATACTTACTAAGGAATGCCTTTTTACATGTTCTCTTCGTGTGAACAACTTTCCACAGATATCACAAGCAAAAGAGCGGACTCCAGTGTGTATCAGCTGGTGCCTCTTCAGTGTGCGGCGGTACTTGGCGATGTAATTACAATGAGGGCACTTGAATTTGTTTTGACTACCAGCCAAGGCGTCACCTGGCAGACAGAATACATGCTTTTATAACAAAGTTTTCATTTGCTATATGACGCATATGCTATATTTCGCCCACAAAGTATACAATACATTCTGTGAATCGCTTTGAGACGTCTCAACAATGTGACAAGGCACTATATGAAATACTAGAATTATTATTAATAATAACAAAATTATTATTAATAATACTATCATTAATAACAGTAATAATAATATTAATAAGTCATGGATGGCCAAAGACCATTCATCAGGCCCCTCCAGTATGGCATTTCATTCCATCCACCATTGTACTTCAAAGCAATTTGGGTTATTCAAAATGCGTTAGCTATCTATTAATTACCCTGTTTATTGGATTAATTCCGAACACTTATACCTCAAGTACATTTTTTCTGGTATGGTTTTAAGATTAATTTTCAATCTACTTGTACTGTATTCACTGTGTAATCTGATAAAGAGAGAGTAATATTAAGTACAGTATCATTCTCATGCGACAGATCATACAAATACATTAATATTTATGGTTTAATTTTGACTTGCAGCATTTTCACAACTGCTTTATAATAGTTCTGTTATTTTAACGGACAAAGGTTAATTTTTTCCACTTGTTTGAGAATAAAAACTGGTACCCTAAATCTGTTAATCTTTTTGCAAATTCTGGATCAACTAGTAACAAAATAGAATTAGAAAAACTAATTCCTGAAAGCATATTCAATGCTCATATAGGAATATATACTCTCTAATGGAAATTAAAACAAAATAATTCTTAGAATAAATACAAACCTTTAAACAAACCACAAAGACAGGTTAAAAAAACAAGCAGCAAAAGATATTTTTTCCTTAGAGGAGTGGTTTAAAAATTGGACCAGTGCAACTAAAAACTTCAGCTGGAAAACGCTTACCACCGAGCGAATAAACAAGCATTAATCAGAAGAAAACAGCAGCCCCATTCTCTGTTTTTGCCATTCAAATATTATTATATGCACCTCCTCGAAAGTAAATATGATTGAAAATCATAAAATTTAGTGGAGAAATGAATTTCTACCTTTGTGGCAGATCCACATGCAGGGAAAGAAATAGAAGCAACTGCCCGTACCATTTTACATCTCCCAGTAAAACTACTGGGAAGAATCTCTGCAACTGCCCCACACATATTATGTTGTTTAATTCTGATTTAGGAATTTGGAAGTTGAGAAGGAGGAATTAACTTTAGAGGCACTAAACATCATAACTGTCTAAATTGAAAACAACCAACAGAAACATTTCAGCAGGCAAATATGTGCCTGAGGGCTCCCTTAGCATAATGTCTTCCTACATAATATGTAGGAACAACACATTAAACAGTAGCCTCCAGCTGAAAATGTATCTTGGTGTACAGAAACCATATTGACACAAAAACAAGAAACTTTTTTCATATTGAGAAAGAATTAAGAGACATCATCACTGCTATTAACCCTACTTTTGATGCATGGCTATTGAGAGAATATTAGCCAAGGCTCAAATCTTTTGGGTAGCCTGGTTGTGGACAGAACAATCACAAGCAGATCACAAAATGATAGCAACCAAAACCAGAAGGGAGATTCTGCTGGTGTCCAGGCCACCAATCCTCCAAATAAAACTGGTCACTCACTTCATGGGACATTGCTGTGCACAAGGTAGCTGCTGAGTTTATCTACAACATACAATCGCAACACTTTACAGTGAACCCTAGTAGAGTGCTTTGAAATATCCTCCTAACTTCTAAATGTTATTATTATTGTTATTATTATCCAGAGAATGATTTAATTATTCAGCAATTTAAATATGCCTGTGGACTTTTATTTGAAAGAACTCAAGGTGGAAAATGCTACAGAAATGAGATTTGTTTCACAGAGACTGCTAAGATTTATCAGTTTTTGCAGTTTGGATACCCAACTTTTATGTTTCCCAACATGCAATACTTGTAGAGCAAAACTGTACTCCAATGTGACAATGACAATATTCAAAGGCTATGAAAGCTTCTGAATTACAAATGAGTAAAAGATACAATTGAGGCTATGCGGTATATAGTGCATACCATGGTCATATTGTACACATTTCCTTTCAATTTTGCATTAAAAATATTGATTTATAACAGGGACACTAAAAGTACAACAATGGAGCCCCATTATAACTCAATAGTTGGGATCCATAGGTTCTGACCCATGCTACAATGAGGTTTCACTACGAATGCATGCGGTGGCCAGTTCCTGCACTTAAAATAAAAAAAAGCCTACTTCCGGGTCCCCAGGATATACCAACATTTCTTCCTGAGTGCGGCACACGTGCAAAGCAGGAATTGATATCAGTGATGATTTGATGACCAGAACGTTGGCTGTATTTACCTTGTGGGAAGCTTTATAAAAAAAAGCCAGCTTTCGGATCACCAGATAAAAATGTAAATCAATGTAAATTGTACTGGAACAGATATCCACCCACGTCACATCCAGTGCACTGCACATGTGGTGATGACTTAAGAGACCTGGAAAATATCCATTTTAATTCAAGAGAAAGCCAGCGCATGGGAAGCAAGCAGGCCAGCTGCGTGCATGCGCAGTGAATGGGATCCACATTCTAACCATGTTAGAACTAAATCCACGCTATGTATAACAGGTTGCACTGTACATATACCACAATCATTGAAGCAGCACTCCCACTGTAATGCTGTAACTTTATATAGCAGTATATGGTTCAAATTTCACAAGATAAAATTATAATACCCACCGTTTAACCAGGCTTCTCTATTGTGTGCTTCATGTAACAGCCCAAATCTGTACTGGTCTGAAGTCCCTGCTGTAAACAACAATATGAGATCTTTATTAGATAACTTCCATACGTACAATTTAAAGATCTTGCACTTTTATTTCTCAAGTTCACCAAATCCATTGTTAACATACAGTTCACCAATACCCTGATTGACCCAAACTATGAGTTAGAACTAAGCACATACAATGAATATAGACTCCAGATGTTGGGCCTACAATTACTTGAAGGCTGAAACTCATTCTTTGGATGCTGCTGGGAATAATTTTCCAGCTCTGCAGAGTTTCATGGTTTAATTAAATTTGGTTGGCACTGGTAATACTCTTTCATGTGTTGCCATTTGATTTGCAAAAAAAATCATACTTTTCCAATTATTCAGACTCTTTAATCACAACAATATTGAAGTGCAGGTTTTGGAGCTGCCGGTTAGAATAGGTTACAGTATCACTTCCTACAAATTACAGAGGTCATTCAATTGGAAGTAGAATACAGTATTGATAACCACAATATTTTGGCACTCATTGCTCCCCTTTTCCACAATTGTTTTGTTTCAACATATAGGTTTCATTGTACTTCTTCCCTCCATCTCCCCCCTCCCTACCCATTAGAACAGAGGTTAAGGACCAACCTCATAGAGTTCTTCAAGATTATAGCCTTAGAAGAATAAATAGTAACTGATTATTCTACAGGTTAGACAGTCGGTAACAAGAGCACTCAAATCTAAGATAATCACAAAAGGAAAAAAGGGGAGGTCACAAAAAAAGTGGTTGAAAGATGCAACTCGCTGCTACAAATCAAAGTCCATAAATTCTTTTAATTAGATGCTTGATTAGGAATATGAAAGGAAACTGAAAGCAAGCAGAAGAGTTGGATTAGCTCAAATGGAGAAAAATGCCAACAAAGACTTAATGGAACAAATGGACTGTTACTGCGGTAGAACAGTCCAGAATTCTAAGATCTTAGGTGGGATGCATAGATCTCTGTTTGGTTTGGATACTCTTAGGCACGGTGATTGGTTTTTGCATGTGTCAGGCACCCGGCTAACCAAAATTAAAGATTCTATAAATCTAGATATGACCATGCTTCCATGGGAATTAATTGCACTACACTGTGCCATAGACATTCCTGGTACAACCCATTCAAAAAAGTGATCAATGGGCATAAAGTGATCAATGGGCTGGAGTCCTGCAGCTCAGTGGTTAAAGCACTCACTTTGCAAGTGAGACACCTGGGTTCAATACCCAGCAGGGTGAAACCTTGGGCAAGTTTCCTTACTCCACACGCCTAATAATAACCCCTCAAGAAAAAAAAACAGTAATAAATTGGTCACTTCAATCCACGACTGTTTGTGGGACACTGCTGTTTGCAATTGGCTGCCGCGTTTCGCCCACAAAATATACAGTCAATTCACTTTACAGTATATTCTATGAAGCGCTTTGAGACGTCTAGAAGACGTGAAAAACGCGATATCAAATTCAAGGATTATTATATTATTATAATATTAGGAACAAATGGAGTTTCATGGTTCAATTACATTTGGTTTGTGTTGCATCAGAAATACTTAGGCAACAAACGTTTGTTTACCAGTTTACTCAGTTGTTTAGCATTCCTCGTTTTCTTACACAAGGTTAAGCAACAAATGTTGCATACAACAACAAATTGCATTTATATAGCACCTTTCACATCGGGAGGATAACCCAAGGCGCTGGACAGCCAAAGGTTTGCACCTGAGTTGGGGGTTTGGAATCAAGAAGGATGAAGGGCAAGGACAGTGGGAGAATGACTGAAGGCACAATCAAAGAGGAAGGTGTTGAGACAAGCCTTGAAGGAGGCAAGGGATGGGGCGACACAAAGGGATTCCGAGATGGAAGCAAAAAGGCCAAAGACCAGACTGCCAATGGTGGGACAGGCAGAACGGAGGACAGGCGAGTGCACACCAAGCAGAGAGAGGATACAACTAATGACCTTTTAAGCTTCAGGTCATGGTCAAGTGTTCGTTCTCTGCTCTCTTCCCCCTCCCATCCTTAACTGTCTAATAATATCTTATTTTAAGTCACATCTAAGTCAAGGCTTAGGGTTTGCTTATTGTATGATGCAACATATAACTTTACAAAGAACTTTCAGGAAAATTAAGACAAAAAAAGGAGAAGAAATGCAAATTTATACATGGAGGAAGATCATAAAAACAGTAGGGAACATGACAAATATTCTTGCTCGTTATTTCACACTAGACTAAGAAATGATTTCCACAAAAGCAGTACCAACAATTGGAGAAGGGATTCTCTGACCTATATGCTAAAATCAGCTTGAGGCACAGCTATGCCAAAACATTTATCTTCTGAAGCCATCAGCAGGAGACAATAATACTAAGTGAAAGCATGTAAGTTGCTCCAGGTAGCTGCCGTGAGAATTACATCAAGGCAAACCCTCCATTTATTGCCCCATGAGGTGATATAGCAATGTCAAAATAGATTCTCATGTTCCCTTATGGCTCCTGACCAGGCAGGGATTAAGGATACATATTCGGTAATCCAAATCAAGGTCCCATTTTGTGCCAGATTTACCTGATCTTGTATTTCCATAGGAAATAGATGCATAGATTTGCACACAGCCAGTTTACATATCTACCATGCTTAGTTCACATTAAGTATTTCTTTTAATAATTGTGGAACAGATAAAATAAAAGTGGCATAATTTCTTGAAATATGTGAAATTCAAATGTAATTTAATCATAAAGGATTTAGTTTTAAAACTCCCTTATTCATGCATCAAAGATAAAGTGCATCAATCAATGTATAACATTCTCTAATCCTGCTTTGTTGCAGGGTGAGAGATTTAAGCACAAGGAATTTTAAGAATACAAGAACCTGAAGATTCAAAACAAATCAGATATAAACTTGTACAATACCAACAGTCAAAATCATACAAGTGTATTGAGTGTCAAACCTACTGTTTGATTAAACAAGTCTTCTTCATACATTAAACCAAAATACGATAGTCACCAAATCAATTTCCCCTCAAAAGGCAGACAACCATCAGTGAGGTGAGAGACAGCTGCTTCAGTAGGGGCCATAGATACAAACAGGGCAGCAAGGATGGCACATCTTGGGATCAATAAGAAAATATTTGTTCGACTCAGCAATAGGGGCTTTCAAGAAGGGGACTGTTACAAATGCTGAAAATTTGTATCAGTGAAGGAAGTGAAGTCAACCAGGGCTCTCACGCACCAAGCTATGAAAAGGAAGGCCTTGGGAGTGTCATATCTAGCATACCATCTGCAACAGAAAGTCCCGTCAATCCAGGAACAAGAAGTGGAGCAGTGCTCAGAATGACGCAGTCCAAAATATGGATGCAACTCATCAGTAGGAAGACAATATCATTAAATGCACAGAAACTACACATGAACTTACAATTGCACATCAAAAGCTATTGGTTAACTGCTCTGGCTCCTCTAGCGGAACATTTTCTTAACCTTTTTACTCTAATAACTTTTAGGTATCTATTGTCAAAGACTAGCTCTGATGCAGAGTCAATCCAGCTGGACCCTCTGCTGTAGTTGTCCATATTTGCTCCAGACCTATTGTTTGAACAGCCAGCTGGATGCAATTCAACACTGATTTATATGCTGTGGGAACAGAATAAATTGAACCTCCAGTAAATTCTGCAGGGCTCTTCAATCCTAATGTGAAAGTACACATCCTGAATTCTACAGCTACTGTTCTCTGAGAAGCAATACTGAATTATTAACAAGAATATTACAACCATGAACATTTCCTTTTAAGAATGATGTTGAGTTCCAAAACACCTTGAAATCTTTCAAAAATGCTATTCAGGGTGGTAAACCCTGAATTTTCCAAACCGAAGATTACTGTGCTGCAGCCCAGAAAAGCAATAACTTAAAATAGCCAACCAGTTGTGCATCAAATATGCAGTCCTGAGAACATCCTTCAAATGTTGTTGGAACCCACATAAAGAGCACAGCACATCAGTAGTCTGCCTCATGTAGACATTGATGAGAGCTTTTACTTGTCTGCAAAATTCTTTAATTCAGTATGATGTTCTTCAGTACGATGAATGCTTCAACTGAGAGTCGTTGTGAAGTGAGAACGCAGATAATAGTTGAGGCTACTTGTTCAAGGTCATTTATATTGAACATTTTCAAATACAGTTGGAATAAAGTCTGCTATGGCACAAAGCAGCTCAATCTGCCTTGTAAAGCATTAAAGTTAATCATGGCACTGGATACTTGAATGTTACAGCCTGAGGAGGAGGCAGAGATAAGCTCAAAATAACCGTAAGTTTGTGACAATTCTGAAAGTCTTCTAAAGTAATTTTTTTATCAGCAAATAGGACTTTCCCAGTATATGGACGTTTAAGAATTTTTTCATCAGGTTCACATGAAAAACTGATAACTTTCAGCCTAAATGTGTCTGCAAAGAATAAAAGCTGACTAATATAAAAGATCTGGCTCTTGTATATTTTGTGTCAATTGTAAAATGCTGTAACAATTTAGCTATTTGGATAATATGAGCCAAGTCTGCCCCACAGTTAACTGACTAACACAGAGGGTTTGAACCATAGTGGCAATGATTTAGGAAACTTTGCTTTCAGGAATTTAGCCCAGATCCCTGAATTTAACCCACTTGTTCCAATGGAGCCTTTCATACCTTGGAAGATTCATCCAAGGAAATACAAAGTGAGCCACTAAATCCATTAGGATGATGTTCCCGAGAGGAATTGGTTATTTTATTGCATTGTGTACATACACAATTGCAGGAATTACTGGATACTGGGCGCAGTGCTAAACTGGAGGTTTGCCACATGCACCAGATTTCAATATCCTTGCATAGAGGTCTATGCTCGTCAGGAGGATTGCCTCAGAGTAATCAGACATTCACAATAGGCTGTATTTCTAAGGTTGGAAGTAGGTTTCAAACCCCTAGAAACTATGATCTCAAAAGCTATGAGCAGATGAAGCAAAACTTTTGAGAGCTTTGATTATCAAGAAGGACCCAAGTAATTTTTTGCAAATCCTTAAACTGGGTAACAGCATTCAGACAAACAATTCAACTTGAAATGATCCACTGGAGGCTGTGTCTCAATCACGTGAGGAAAGAAAGGATATAGATTTCAGCAAATACATTTAAGGCTAATTTGCATGTTGAAGATCTGTACTTTTGTTTTCAAAAAGTAGGAATTATAAAAATTCAGAGACTTAAGTCTGCATAGTGCTTCTCCCCCCAAAATTGCACATTATGAAAAGGGGCAGATTTTATGATCATGGGGCTAAGTTAAATTCCTCTGCATTTTGCTAATGGTCCCTAAGCACTGAACAAAACACCACTTTCTAAACATATTTTCCATATGATGCCTGGGCCAGGGTGGGAGGGAGAGAGAGAGTTCAAATACTTGTACTTGTTTGCTTCCATTAAAAAAATCATTTTGCTTAAGTTTTTTTAAAAAACGATCGTCTTCTGGGATCAGCCACAACATAGTTTACAGAAATCAAAGAAACGGTATAACAATATAAAATTACATTTGTAAAGGGCCTTTCTCATCGGGAAGATGTCCCAAGGTGCTGGGACAACTAATATGCGATATGCCGAAAACCAACTTTGTTGTTTTGACATGATGTTCTATGCTAGACCAAAATAATATCTGATGGAGGGAGAGGCAGAAGAAAGTAATCTAGGCTCCATCAATGGCATTGTGGGTATATCTGATATGTGTAATGCAATGCAGAATCATATATTAAGATATCCAGATTCAGTCCTTTGTTTGGAGCACCAAAAGACACGACCCCTGGCTAGACAAGCTAAAACTCCTATCTCTCCAGTGATCCCTGCCAGAAACGGTGTCCGGATGCCAGGGGGAGGCCAGGATCAGAATTAGGCTCAGTTGTGATGACTCCAACATTCAAACAGAATGGCGACACTCACTGACCTCACTGACACACGAAGAGCATCTACCTGGGTAAAAATTGTAAATCTGCACAAGTTTCAAAAGAGGAATGATGGAAAACTAATAAACAATTTACACCATCATTTCTTGTGTTATCTACTTTGCATGCATTTCTTAACCAGGACAGGTAACATACCTGTATATGTTGCAGAATCAATCGGAATTTCATGCAACCCCTCCTCAGAGAATGCCATAGGAGGCTGGATCATCAGGCCATCCTCAATGCCCTCCTCAGACTTTGGTGCAACATTATACACAACTCTTCTGGTTATGTGGTTTTTCCTTCGTCCGCTTCGAGGCGCAGTCTGCTGCATCATCAATTTCCCCAAATTACCCCACGAGAAAGCTGGATTCTGATCTTGAGGTAGTCCTAGCTGTATATCTTTTCCAACATACTCCGAAAAGTTATCTTGATTCCAGGTCGAATCATTCGTCTGGTAGCACTCATTTTGGTCCATTAGTGAACCCATATCCAGACTGTAGCCCTCCATTTCATATTTGTTTCTTTCTTCGTGCAGGCCTCCTATGGCAGAGTTATTCATTGAACCTGATGACTTGATTACCCAAAGACTACTGGGCTCTGCCTTCAGTGTGGCTGCTTTGTCATTTCTGTAGGTCCTGTTGGAGGCCTTTACCTTCTCATGTTGTACGATTAATTTCTCTGCCGCATTAGATTTTGTACTGATGTTTAACGCATCCTTTATGAAACCACGGCAACCCTGAACAATCTCTGTCATTTGTAGGTAGCTTGCAACAGACATAACCTCAATTACATTCTGGCTAGTTAAAACCAGGTGCCCAGAGTACATGAAATCAAGAATGACTGTGAAACCTTGCACCGCAACTACATCGAGGTGTGTAACTGTGACCTGGTCACAGCTTTCATTTGGAGTACAGCAATACAGAGTCTTAAAGTAACGGCTGCCTGCAACCAATATGTTTTTGTGGGCTTTGAAAACCTGTCCTTTCACCACTATGTTGACATCGCACAGAATGCCTTGCTGCCGCTGCTCATTCAGCTCCTGAAGCAGTTGATAGCAATAGGAATTCTCATTTCTATCACTTTTGTACTCGGTGTATATCTCATCTATGGATCTGGATGTGCCATCAGACTCCTGCAAAATAATACCATAAAGTATTAGATAAACATAAATTTAAGTATCATGTACTACTCTCCCACATTTATTTTTCTCCAAATCAGTCTGAGCATGCAAATGACAATGGAACACTTGTCAATTTTCCACCAGCACACCTCTCAAGATCGGATAATATATGGTTTACATGCTGAATTGAGTGAGCTCATTCCACACCCAAAATACATCCCATCTCCAACAAAACTGCACTCCACCAGATCAATATTACTCTATTTTTCAAGCCATCCTTGTTGCCTTTCAGAGGGATTTTCCTCACCAGCCAGATTATGACTTGTATTATATATTTGAAGCCAATCAAGAATTGGCTCAAGACTTTCTGAACCAATTCAGATAGAAGAATTGCTGTCATCCCAATAAATCTTAGCTAGATTAAAATCAAGAGTGCCCAAAAGAGGAAGGTTAGTGTATTAATTCAATATTACAGCCATTTCTTCCCGATTCCTCCTAAAATTCACTATTTTATAACCACAGCTCACTGCAACAAAGTGATTGAGCTGGGGAAATAAACAAAAGGAAAAATGGTGATAATAAACCATAATTCATGCATTTGATATAACACCTGCAGATGTAATGACAGCATATGTGTAGACAAACGTGGCAACAAATTTGTGCACAACAACATCCCACAAACAGCCATGACGTGAATGACTAATTTATAGTATTGTTGGCCAGAATTTTGGGAGAAAGTCACTCCACTTTGAATAGTGCTGTGGGATCTTTAAAATCTACTTGAAACAAGTAGATAGGCCCTCGGTTTAACGTCTCATCCTCTGACAACATAGCACTCCTCAGTATTGCATTGGAGGGTCAATTTAGACAAGTTCCAATGTTGAGCTTGAACCATTACCATCCGACTCACAGGCAAGCGTGCTATCAGCTGAGTCAAGTAAGAAGATTGCACAGCAAAGGAAGATAGAAACTAGCTTAATTTCTTACCATTTATCCCAAAACATCCACCAAACAAACATTTTATTACTCCATGTATCAGTTTTCATGCCAGTTTCATCTAATTCAGTAATCTTACTTCAACCAAAGAAGGTAAAATCCTGAAATATTCAGCTAAATGGTATCTAACTAGACCATGCCTTTGTCACCTCCCTGTTGGACTATTCAAACGCCCTCCTCGCCGGTCTCCCATCCACTACCATCCATAAAATCCAACTCATTCAGAACTCTCCCGCCCGCATTCTCACCTGCACGAAACTCCGCTCCCCGATCACCCCAGTCCTTGCCAGACTGCACTGGCTGCCTATCCCAGAGAGGATCGATTTTCAAGTACCTCACCCTCATATTCAAGTCCTGTATTTCTCTGCACCCCCCTAGCTCTCTGACCTCCTCTCTCCTCAAAACAGTACCCGTTGCCTTCGTTCCTCCGGATCTGGCCTCCTCCTTGTTCCCTGAGTCCTCCGCTCAACCCTTGGCGGCCGTGCCTTCAGCCACTATGCCCCGAGGCTCTGGAACTGCCTACCTCACTCCCTTCGTCTCGCTCTCTCCTTTCCCATTTTCAGGTCTCTGCTGAAGACCTTTCTTTTTGACCGCGCCTTTGGTCACCTTCCCCCCCCTCCCCCTGGCTCGGTCCTGGGATCCTAAACTATAAAGTGCTCTGAAACGCCGTCTGGTGTGGAGGGCCCTATATAAATCTAAGTTGTTGTTGTAGACTTGAGATGACATTTGTGGATGCAGGCACCAATGTATTGCTTATGTTTGTTTACAATCTATTACCAACTTGAAAAAGCTATGAAAAAAAAGGCCCCCAAATTCCACTTGAGCTTGACATATTATCCAAGTTACAGTACTTTAAATAATTAGTTAAACTACACTAGGGACTGTTTCCCCACCTCACTCAGTTTTCTGTGAGATACTGACATGTTAGGATTTAAATGCCACTAACCCCATCCATGACTAGCCGACAGGTGCTTATCAAGTAGAGTGGACTAGGCCGCAGTGTACCCAACCAATTCCTAATACCCAAATGTTAAGTGCCTCACTATAAAATAGCATGCCACTTAAACAGCTTTGCTGAACACTGAACACACACACACACACACAGATATATCCAACTGCTCATTGCTTTGCAGTCAGCTAAGTGTATTGCTCCAGCTAAACCACCTACCAAAGTGTATTTATAAGGGGTACTCTTGGAACTATAGAACCATTAAAAAAAGTGTATGATATTCAAGAAAATTGGTGTACATGCAAGTGTATTACAAAACCTCCCACTTCTATGCAGATCTTTCACATAACAGTGAACAAAACGTGAAAAATTAAATCAAAAATAATTTACTGAGAAACTGGTCCCCAAGCACTACAATTCTTAAAAGATCTCATGAAACTATTCAAAAAGAGAAACGAGTCGCTCAATCCCAACAATCCCCCAAATAAAATTGGTCACTCATTCCATAGCTATTTGTGACATTGCTGTGCACAAAACTGCAGTGTGCTTTGCCCACAAAATACAGTCAATCCACTTTACAGTACTCAAGAGCTTGAGAAGTCTTGACAATGTGACAAGGGGCTATATCAAATGCAAGGATAATTGTATTATGATTTTTTTTGAATAGATTCAGCTGTATTCCTGTTCAAAGTGCGATTGGGTAAATTATTTTCAAATAATTTAATTTACTCACTTATATTTTAAAATGGCAATCAGATTTTGCATATGCAGTCTTGATTTTTAACCTCACCTTTCTAATTTAGAATTTTTATTTATAAATAGGTCACTGCATTTTGTTCTATAGGCCTCATTTCCATCTTGATTTTAAACTATAGTTTCTCTTTTCTGGGTTTATGTTCACTGTTACTGTAGTGTTCTGTTGTGTGATGCACTTTTGTCCAAGGTGGGGGTGGGGTGTGAGCTATAGCTGCACAGCTGACTCGTGCTTGAAAACAACCATCTGAAGCCATTAGTGGATTAGAGGGAAGCCTCTATAAACAAGGTTGGACAGCTCCACTCTAATGTTCTACAGATTGCACTGAGACAATCTGCCAAAAACATACTTCAATTCCAGGTGTATTATTCTCCCACTCAAACAGTAACCAGCGTTTCCCTATACTCTGCTGTTCTTGACAAAGTTAACCACTTGTATTTATATAGCACCTTCCATGTAAAGGAAGGGGTTTGAAGCACTCTACAACTGAGATTAATTTGAAATGAAGTGAATGAATGTTATTTATGTAAGTTAATTGGCTTCTCATATTGTTCGTAGGGTGCACCAGCTAATTTGTGTCAGGCACTTCCTACGAACAAAAGAGAGGCCAATTAATTTAAAAAATGGGGGTAACTTTGGCTAGCTAGAGAATTTATGCTGTGACAAATGGGAGAAACGTCCTTAACAATAGGGGGAGGGGGAGAGAGATGTATCCTTGTTATTGTAACAGCACTGTAAAACAAACTAGTCTAAAAAGTTGTCAAAACGTACAGCCATCAAACTCACATACTGGTCTCCATTGACTATCATCCTGACAAGAAAGCTTAATAAGGAAAATGTACAAAATCAAACCCCAAAAAGGAATATTATATAAGACAATACTATTGAACACTCTCCTGAGTATCTGTCTAATCATAGTTCTTTTTGCCAATATAGCAACTGAGAGCAGAAATTTGGCACAACTATGCAACGGAATGCACCACCATCTGAATCCCTATGAGTAGAATTGTAGGAACACACAAATGGAGGATATATATCCATTGATAAAGTACAGATTGTCATGGAGGTGGTATTATTACCTAGCCTGCCAGTGACTAGAGTCAGGGATCTTCGAGTAAGGACGACAAAACCAGTATTCATTTGCATTAAAGAGTGAATACGGAAGAGTCAAAAAGTTCAATTAAGAGTTCTGCTTGTCTCAAACGCTCAATATTTATTGATTAGGCTTGCTAATGATACATCATGCAGGATTTGTGGTTGTCCAATCCCATAGATACACATCATAGCAGGTCAAATATGTCCATACCTTATGATTTTCTTTCAAAGTGCATGATCAGTTGAGACCATCTGCAATGCCGGACATGTGGCAAGGAGATCGGTTGAAATTAGTTGCAAAACAAGACGTATGCCACGAGATTGAAAAATCAGTTCCCAATTTTTCTAAATAGGGCCCCAATTCTATTCTTAATCCCACCCCAAATTGAGGCCATCTGCAATACATATGTGTGGCAAGGAGATCGGTTGAAATCAATTGCAAAACTGTCTAAGTGGGCCCGAATTCCATTCTTTACCCCGCCACAAGATAAATGTACAAATACAGCACAAGTTCTTTAAATGCATTGAAGTAGTAAAAGACTTATAATTGAAGGGTCTGGAAAAAATGGTTGCAATACTCTTTCAAAGCAATAAAGGATTTACTGTACTGTATTTTCAAACAAAAGCACCTTTTTTTAAATTATCAGATTGTTTTAAGACCATCAATAATGTGATCATTTAAGTTCCCTCTATTTCTGCTGACTGATAGTTTTATTTATCCAAGATTAATGGAATCCATAAGGTGCAATAGCTTGAACAAGTTCTGAGGTTCAGTGAGAAGGAGTGATCATCATCAACAACAACAAAATTACATTTATAGAGCACCTTTCACGTCGGGAGGACGTCCCAGGAGGACATAGGCTGCAGTGGATTTATTAATCCCAAGTGTGCTTCAGCATCAATTGTTTACGACAGCTTCCTCATTCTTCGACTCACTCTTCGAAGCTACATCTCTGAATCACTGTTCAAACAATTTTTTAAAATTTCTTTTTAAAAAAGTCCCAAAGGTTTTTTGCAAATGGGTTACCACATCCAGACATGACCAAGCTTGTCAGAACTGTTGAGAACTCCTCCAGTGGTAGCACTGATCAGAAATTGGTCTGATCATGACACTGTGCTATTCTTCAGACTTGTGGTTGTCAGTTGTTAGAATGTTTTGAATTTGGAGGCAGCTAATTTAATGTAACTCCTCTCCAATTGAGTGGGAAGGCATGAAAG